GGGGGGGGGGGGGGGGGGGGAGCTTCTCTGACCTTTGACTCTGTAGATCTTCCAATGTGGATCTTAAGCCCCTAATTACTGTATCAAGTCCTTTTCACCTGGAATGTATGGACGGCTTCTGTTTCCCTAACAATGCAGCTCTCAGTCGATCCCAGCATCTATTCAACCTTTTGCTCTAAATTGGCCCCACTGGAATTCGAATGGGTAACAAATACTTCTTTCATTGCATCCAGGGCCCTTGCTAGAAGAGAGGATACTATGAAAGCTTTTGTGCCCTCAATGCCAGAAATGTCTTTGGTTATGAAGTACACAGAGGTAGTCCCTGTGGCCTCTCTGAGCCTTTCATTTCAGCTGCAGTTTTCAGATTCGTGAGGCACTTCTCCACCCTTAAGGTAGTATTTAAAGGTAGAAAGGGCAGAGAAAGACTCAAAGATGCCAGAAGCACCCTTCAAATTAATAAATGTAGCCTAGTAGTGGGACCTGGATGTTATGGACGACTAGTCTCCATCTGGTGGGTGTCACTGGCTTTCCCACTAGAATGCAAGCTCCACAGGCGCAGGGAGTTTTGTTTTGTTCACCAATGTAGCCCAAGCAGGACCCATGGGTGCTCGATATTTGTTGAAAAAATGGACAAATGGCAACACTAGCCGTCCGAGATGCCTAAAGATTAAATATCACATGTGTCTTATCTCCTTTCATGGTATGTCACTGGCTCTATGACACTGTACTGCTCCCCACTATAGAAGGAACAATTTTTTAAAAAGTCAGAGTGCTGCTCTCTTTATAACTTGTATCTCCCTGCACCTTCATGCTGTCATCTTCATAATCGGAAAGATTTGTTGTAAATTCAGTAATCACAGGGACAAGTTTTAAAAATGGCACTTCTAGGTCTTATGTGGCCAACTGAAGAAATTTAGAAACAATTCACTGTATCATTATCATTTCTATGTAATTTAATGCAAAAATGTAAATAAAAACTTTAAAAGGAATGGGAAGGATAACCTTAAGAGTTTAAAAACTGAATAAATATAGTGTTAGGGGAAAATTAACATTTTTTTTTCCATTTCACCTGACACTTAGTTTGGTATTGGGAAACTCTGATCTCACACAAGGGCTGGTTACCTTTTGTTAGGTGCTGGGAATCTGAGTCAACAAGACAGTCATGCTTCTGCCTTGAGAAGCTTACCTCTTAAGTTTTTGATGCTACGAATACTGGGAGCTGTTGAGAACACAAGACATCTAACCTAGTTTAAGGGGGAAGAAGAAATTTCCTGGTAGAGTTGTGCTTTACACTGAGACCTGAGGAGTTATCCAGAGAATGAAACCTGGGCAAGATAGGAAAACTAATGTCCAGAAAGGACAAATGACTTTCCCAGTCATGCAATATAGTGGTAGAACAAACATGACAAACTAGAATTGGGCCCTCTATTAGCAGATATTGCTACTTCTTCATGGCCTTTTTGGTGAGGATCCTAAATGTAGACTCACTACCTGCTCTACCCAGCTAGCCCTAACCTGAGTCAATGAGGTCTTGACAGCTAGCAGCTAGCACCTATTACAAAAACTAACAGCTTGCACCTCACCTTTACTTGAATTCAGTTGAGTTCCAATAACTACTACTTCAGCACTTTGTCAGTAGTGGGCTCAGTCCTTTCCTTGAAAACGAGAAACATCACTTTAACAAAAATCATTGTTGTTCCCTGGGATCAAGATGGAGCGAGTTGGGGTGGGAGCCAGGATGGTCAGAAAACAAACCACACATATTGCTGCTTCTGGAAGCTTTTGTTCTTTAATGAGCCATTGGAGTGATTTGTTCATCAAGCTGCTTTTGTGTAGCCATACAGCGCATATCTTGAGTGACACAAACTGGACTCTATACAGATGATATCTTGCTCCCCCACACTCCCCAAAAGCAAAGGGAAATTACAAAGCGCCTGGTGATGGTATTAGGAATGTAATCAATTCCATGGGTGAGATAAATCATTCTTCTTATAGAATTATTCTGTTTAACAGTAAAATATATTTCACAGGATATGTCCTTTTACAATACATAGTCTTTTAAAAATTTACACTCAGCATACTTATAAATTATTTAAACCCATTAAAATAATATAATACTAATCTGTAGTATACACCTTTCCCCTAGTTAAATACAATGGTTCAAAAGGTGCAACTTTTATATGACCTAAGAAGACTGATAAATAGGTATTAAGTATGGATGGATAGCAAGGTGATAGGCCCCTTGGTGGGGCTTTTTTTTTTTTTTTTTAAGTTTCAACCAAGAGACCAACAAAACCTAATAGATCCATGTCCACACTCATCATTTTGCTGTTACTGTTGAACACCAAATCAAATGTGGGAATGGTTCCAGAAAAAAAGTGGTTAAAAGTATTTTAGGGGCTTAGAAAAGACAAAGGACTCCCACAAATACCGAGGAATTTTACAACCAAGGCTAGCATGGTGTTGGGGAACAGGGCTGAGAAGTTATCACAAAATTATGGGTGACAGATGCATTTTTCAACACAGAATGATGCATGTCCCATATCCAGCTCCCCATTAAGGGAAAAAAAAAAAGGAGAGGAGGATGAGGAAAGCTGTTTGGACTGTGTTTCTCTTTAAAATTAAAACTCTTAGCTTTGAACACATCCTGAGAACACTTTCTTCTCTCTGGTTTACCAAAGTGCTTGTGAAATGTACACAGTCATTAGTTATAATTTTAAAAACATCAAGGCCCACAGGCACTGAAGGGGGCCTGCAGCACTTCGCTGGACTTCCTCTTTTCAGCAGGTTTCTGGGATCCTTTGTCTCTGACAGTGAAAAAACCCTCTCATGATAGAACAGGGAAGTCTCTTCTAACCTCCCAGCAGAGGTGAGTGGAGAGCTGCAGCTGGTTTCTAAGGAATGAGAAGGCAGGGCTCTGGTATCCCCTTCCCTGACCTGGGTCCCTTGCCTCTGCAAGGCTCCTACAGGGAAGGCGTACCTCCCCTAGTGTTTTCAGAAGCCCAGAGTGGGAAAATAATTAAAATGGCAGGAAGTACAAAGTGCATTACAAACTAAGCATACCACCTCCCTGAACCTTTCCTGTTTTGCTGTTATAATCATTTGCTTCACTTTGTGGCACCCAATGTGATCCAAATTAGACTTTTCTGATGCTATCACATTTTTCATGATAAGGGATGTGTTGGTTTCACTGGGGAAAATTGAAATCCAGGCTTTGTTTGGGGCCAGGAATGTGTGATAGAACAGAATGCTCTTCAATTTGGAGTATGGGCTCCAAGTATGGGGCCATCCTGCTGCTGCCATGCAGGCATTTTCTTTGAGGCATTTGAGATCAAAGTAAACATGCAAAGCAATAGAAAATACAGATGTGACACATGTTAAGGTTAAATATCTTAAACATAAGTGGTTGCAATGAATACAGCATCACTTTGTGGTGACATAACCAGGGAGAGAACCAGTTAAGATCAAATGGAGGGAGACAGAACACTTGGTTCTGACAGTTTTTGAGAGTTATGGCATCATCTCTGTATCAGGCCCACAACACCTATTATCCCATGAGAATAGCAGCTTTCCTTCCTTCAAAGGGAGGGTCGCACACTTGCTCTGCATTTTTGCAATTGTGTGGCTCTCTCCTCCCTACCACCCTCCATTCTGGCAGCTTGTTAAATGACTAGAAATCCACAAATCTAGCAACTGAAAAGCAATATTTTTTATTTAACTTTATCCAAATTCAGGTTTCAAGTCCCTGAGAAAAATTATAAAGTCTCTTAACATCCATTGTCAAGTTCCTATAAAACGTCCTATATGAGTTGTTTTTTAATTGCCAAAACTTATTTTGCAAAAACAATAAAAATCCACAAAAATTTAGAAGAACATGCCAAGATGTGTTCTGCAGGCCATTCCTCTGGGCCAAAGGAAACTGTGCAATAAGGGTACTCTCTCCTTTTGTATGGTATTGACCAATGCCTGGCAAGTGAAGAGCAGCAGTCGTGCCCAGCAGAATGCTACTCTCCCAAGAACACTGACACAGACCTGCAGTCTGGCAGCGGCGCCAAGGCAGCAGCAATCCCACTTTCACACAGCCATGCTGGGGATGAATTAGGTTTTCCTCTGGGAAACTTTCCGAAATTCAGATTTTTAAAGGCTTTACATTTATGACTCCTCAGGACAGCCTGGACAAGGTGGCAGATGTTTGCGGGGCAGATGTTTGCGGGGTATATAAAAGGGAACATCTATTCACTAACCATCATCAAGATCCCTTTTCCTAGCTCATTTTGGAACCCAAACCAGGGACAGAGAAGACTCCTGCTGCCTTTAGCTGCCACTCAGAATGATGTTCCAAGTCTCATCTCTGGAGTTCGACAACCACCACTTTGGCAGTGGCATGAGGTTCAGTGTCATGTAACAGGAGAGACTCTGCCTTAACATGTCTTAATAGTTCTGTAACTTCAAATTCAAAAAGCATTAAAAGGAAGAATAACCAAAATTCAGGTAACAGTGCATGTGGTAGTTAGACAAGATCCATTTAGTAACTTTAAAAATAAACATTTTCACATATTTATCTCAAGAAAGAGGAGCATGTTTCATTTCTCATATATTATATATAAATAGCAGAAATAGATTTCGAATCCTACTGATGCTAAGAAGCTTAAAATGCTATTATAACTCATGTGTACGGAGACACCTAGTGGTGAAGATGGTTTGACTTATGACTTGTCCCTCAACCCAGGGATGTGTGGCTCTCACCTCCCTGTCCAATGATCCCTAATCTTAGGAAGAAATTCCATGGGAGGAGGGAAGCATAAGGTGAAAAAGAAATATGCATACTATACATTTATATTTACAGTAAACTTCAGTAACCAGAATATTAACAAAAGTAGCTTCAAGTAGTCCTTGATTTTTAAAAAAGTCTATTTAATACTGATGGTCTGAGGAAAAAATAAGTTAGATGGGTCATCTGAAAAAGTTCTCTCTTATTTTTTGGCAGCTTTCTGTAACACTTATTCATGTAGTATTGTGTTGTGAATGTTTTGAGAGAATTGATTAATTGGTCATTTGTTTTTGAGTTCTAGGTTGAAATCTACCAGCAGATGAATATGTGATCTTCAGTTCAATCTACACAAAGAGAAAAGCGTGGATGGATTAGGGTGAAACCCTCATGTTTAGTGTTCATATCTCTGGGTCATTTAAGAAAATTAGAGGAAACTGATTCTAGGACCAGAGAATATGAGAACAGTATGGCTACTGAAACTTCAGCCCATGCAATATATTTGGCAGGAACTAACTAGAAGTTAAACCAGCATTGATTATTATTACATCAAACATCATCAAAAAACAAAACTTCTACTCTCTTCTTCATTGTGTAACCAGAGGTCTGAGACATGCTCTGATGGCTTAATGGAAACAATTGCCTTTTTACTTTCCCCAGAATATAACATGAAGTGTTTTTCAAAAAAATCTTAAAATAGAGGGCTTAGCCTTTTTTTATAAATCCTTGGGGGGAAAAAGTATATCCTACCCCAGCTCCTAACTATCCCAAAATAAACTGAAAGGCTTTTGCTTACAGGTTAAGAAAGATTTACATGTTTTCTTCCAAGGCCAGAAATCAATGCGCCCCTCAGGCCCACAATGTGCTCACCAGTTCCACACCCACCTCTGGAAAGGGAAAAGAGGATGGAAGAGAGGCAACTACAAGACCTCCACGACTGACCCAAATCCCCAAGTCCTAGCTAGGTGGCTTTGTTAGTGAAATCTCTGGTCAAATACTGCAGCCAAGGCACAGCTGGCACCATCCCGGCAGGCTTCAAAGAGGCCTTTCCACTTCCATAGGAGGCCCAGGAAATTAGCACACCAGGTCTTGGTTGTATGCTTGGACAAGAGGCTGGACCTCACTTAGAATGGACTATTGTGGACGAGGCAATGAGAAGAGGCCTAAAAATGAGATGTGTTTACTACTCTGCAGCTATGAAGGAATATACATCTGCTAGTTCAGACCATAAACTCATTATTTCCAAAGAGAGCTGGCTGTTGGGTAGAGCTGCAGTCTGGGTCCACAGTTTTCCTGTGGCCAGACCCCACGGTCCCCTCTGGGGTCTCTTTGGTTTTCTGAGGTGAGTTTTTCACATTCTTTAATTTTTGTTTGCCCTTTTCAGGGTTGAAGGTTCCTCTGCTGATGAACTGAGGTCTGTCTTCTAGGGATTTGGTCAGGCCCAATGGTCCCTCCATTTCCAGGGCCTCACCAGCTGAGCCAGCTCGGTAGAATGGAGATTTGGAATAAATCTGAAATCGTTTTCTGGTCCCATGAGAAGAGACTGAAGAGTCCACTGAATCCAAAGAGTCGTGCTGCTTTTTTAGCTGCTTTCTCAACTTGCTAGAAGGTGCAGACTTGCCAGCTGCCCTCAGGGAGCTAAGAGCCAAGCTTCTCTCTAATCCAGAGAAGAGACCAAAGCTGTAAATGACAGTTCCCTCTAAAGCATATCATTATATAATGAACAGGCATGACTATTCACACGTGAAATGAGGTGGGCTAGATTTGGAGGGTCCAGGCTAAACTACTTTGTGCACACACATAACTCAAAAAGAGCTCACCATCCATTTCTACACACATCATTTCAGAATCAACTCCAATGAAGTCTGGGATTTGACTGTGCCATTAGGAGATGCCTACAATTGTCACTGTCATTTTAAACTACCCACTCTTAGAAAATGGATCATGGGTCAGTAAGACAACATTGTTGTGATTATTGGCTTTTCTCTTTGGCAAAGTAAATACTAGAGAAAACATTAAATTACCAAAAGCTACATTACATTGAAGGCTTCATCTAATGAATAATTTATATAAAAGGTTCACAAAGATCATTATTTTCCAACTCCTCAGGACTCTGTCTTAGCTTGGGAATCCTTAATCCTCCTTTGCACTAACGTGTTCATTTACCTGATTTCTCAGAGATGGCACCTTCAGACTCAATATTTAAGTTTTCTGAGCTATCGGCGGTCCCAATGGAGGCCTCAGACTCAAGGGTTTCATCATCAGAGGCACGGGGTTCCAGTATCAGCATCTCAAATGTTAGCTCCTCCCTGTAAGATACAATCAAGAAATCCATTAGTATTTGATAAGAAGTGGAAGGAAGTCAACAGGAGAAAAGACCTTCCATAAAAGTCAGGAATTTAAGTAGCAAAACCAGTTACATTTCTTACTGTTCCCAATCAGGGTGGTGATAAGGCTTTGAAAGCCATAGTAATGGTGAAGGCTAACACTGTATGTACTAAAAGACAAAATGCAGCAAAGGCTGGACCCATAAAAGGGCCAATGGTGAGGTAGGGAAAGATGCCGAAGCTGTAAGATCTAATAATCAGATTAGTGTTCTAAATTTACTCTAGCCCTTACCTGGTTTGGCTCAGTGGATAGAGCATGGGGCTGTGGACTGAAGGGTCCCAGGTTCAATTCCGGTCAAGGGCACATACCCGGGTTGCGGGCTTGATCCCCAGTTGGGGGTGTGCAGGAGGCAGCCAATCAATGATTCTCTCTCATCATTGATATTTCTATCTCTCTCTCCCTCTCCCTTCCTCTCTGATATATATATTTTTTTTCCACATTCACTCTAAACTCGTTTATAATGCCAAAGGAAAGAACTTTCTTCTCTCTGGTCCTGTTTCCTCATCCACAAAACAAAGAGGTTAAACTAGATAATCTCTAAGATTCCTTCCAGCTCTTTAACTATTTTCCATGAAACTTTACTATATTCTCTACCTTGACCACAGAGAAACCTCTGGATGAAGTAAAACACTGACTTGATCTTTTCTGTCCTTGAAGCTTAAGCCATCTCCACTTATCATATTTTCTTCTCCTCTTCATCAATCACCTACCTATCTCAGTCATGCCCCCTCAGTCCCTGAAGTCTTTGGTACATGGCTCCTAGTCTTGCTTTTCCAACTACTGCCTGATATCACCCTAATCTACTTCAATCAATATCTTTGTAACTGCTCACTTTAATACCCTACCACCAAAGTTCCTTTATGTCTGCAACTTCTAACAGCCTTCCCTCCACTTTATATAGGCAACTTTCTCCAATGGGAAGATCTGGAATTATACCAGCTCTGAATCTAACGCATACTCTACTTGCCCACAAACTCCTTGTCATTCCAATTCTTACTTCCTTTTTCATCTCCTCCCTTTCAAAGCCCTTTAAGCTTCACTTCCACTACCTAGCTTAGACAGTCATTTCAAAGATAATTTCATTGCTGCAATTACCAGTCATAAGCCATGTGTATTCACACCTCTGAGACAGTGCTCATACTTTTTCTTCTCTAGAAAGATTGTCCCCTTCCTACAAATTCCTATTCATCCTTCAATATCTCCAATACCATTTTCACCAGAGCTGAGTTAGGTCCTCTTTTTAGATCATTCTTGTATCAAACAGCCCAGACAATGTACCTTACTTTTGCTTTATCATGTTCTGCCAAGCTGAGCTCCAGCTGCTTTTTTAGCTTGCCTAAATTCTAGACTCAAGCCTGGCAAACAAAAAGTACTTTAACAGACTCATATCCCCACATGAATCAAGCTCTCAGACCTGGGATTCTGGAATTCAGGAACAAAAATCCCCTTAAAACTTAAGAGTCAACATCATCAGTCAAGATCAGTACATGGTACCTTCAGGGAGAACCATGGGATGTTCATATTATCCCCAAGATGTATTGTTACCATTTTTGCTCCAGTGACAGCAAAGGTTACAAAGCTACTTATTTGTCCCTCCCCTAAATTACAACCAATTTTTCTACCCAGTATTCCAGCACCCATTAGTGTTGCTGCCCTACTCTGACCATCTAGTTGCTGGCCCCATGGCTATATTGACCATTAGACAATATCCTTCCTTCATGGAGTTCTGAATAATGCCCATTCTGAGAAGGGACTTTGTCTTAGACTGGGAATCTTTATTCCCCCTTTTCAAGATAAATCTGTCCACCGAAGCTGGTCTCTGACCTGTTAGAATCTCGGCTAAGATTCCTTGACATACCCTGTCCCAGTCAGCCTGTCTAGAATCATCACTGTAGCAGCTTCAAGTCTCCATGCTCACGGAGCTTCCTTCAGGCAACGTATCTTTGTCATCTCCACATCCTCTGTATCACCTGATGATACAGTGCTTGACTCATAGGAGATACTTAATAAATAAGGAAATATAAAGGACAGAAGGAAGGAAATGAAAACAAATAAACTGGTCATTCTCTTTCCTCCTGGAAACTCACTTCTCTTTCTGTAGGTTCTCAATCTGTTCAGTCAGCACTCTCTCCTCCTGCTGCATAGCTGCTTGCTGCTGTTCTGTGATGTCCATCTCCATGGCTGCCTCACTAGTCAAGGTCTCTTCTGGGACATCAGACATAGAGGGCAACCGAACTACAACAGGAGAGGATGGACTTGCATAGTTTCCTCGACGAAGACACCCCTTTCCCTACAAAGAAAAATATATGTTGTAAAGTAAATTGAGTGCCTACATCAGTTTTACGTGACCCATTTAGGATAACAAGAGTACTTCCATCATACCAGGTGAATGTTAGAAATAAATGTTAGAAATAAATTCTGTAAGGCCAAGATACTTAGTGAGATACCATCCATCAAATACATTTAGATTAAATATTTCTTTCAAGAGCACTGGGAAATGAATACTTCAGCACGTGGGAGTATAAGGACACATTGTGTACTGGGATGTGATTCTTCTTGTAAATATAGGCTGCATCCACTCCAAACTAAATATCCATACATGGCTATTTAAATGTAAATCAATTAAAATTAAATAAGTAAAAATTTAGTTCTGCATTTTCACTAGTGACATTTCAAGTTCTCAATAGTCACAGGTGGTTAGAAGCTACCATATTGAACAGTGCAGATATAGAACATTTCCATCATCACATAAAGTTCTGATGGATAACAATGCTCTTCACCTTTAACTGTGGAATGCACAATCTCTCTAGGAAGACTATAAAAACATGTCCCGAAACTCAGTTTCATTTAAAAAAAATCATTTCTATATCACAGGGTGCTGGTGAGAGAGATTCTCTGAGAACAACTCAAGAAATTTCTTTCTTGAGATCAGAGGGGGAAAAAATTCTTATTACTTTTAAATTGGTTACTTTATATATAACTTTAGCTTCTGATAATGGCAGATTAGGTATTTCAGATTATCTCAGCAGGAGTGCCAAGAACAACTGGACCAAAAACACAAAAAACCCAACATATTCTTAAAGGCACCAGAGAGCTAACAAGGTAGGCCAAGGAAAGGCTAGCCCAGCACTTCGGGCTAATCTAAATTTAAGAAAAGGTGGCTGAGAGTCTGAACAGAGCTTCTGACAGACTATATCAGTGGTCAAATCTGGCCTTGTGCCTGATTTTGTAAAAAAAGTTTTATTGGAATACATTCATGCTCATTAATTCACACATTATCTATGGCTCTTCTGCAGAACAATGGCAGCATTAATTGTTGCAACTAAAACTGTAAGGTCTACAAAGCCTAAAATATTTACTCTCTTGTCCTTTTCAGAAAGAGTCTGCCAACCCATGGGGTAGAGAATAAAAGTGGGAGTCCAGAACCACACAAGGGTGTGGGCTCCATGCCTGACACTGGGATCCCCAAGATTTATATCCTAGATCTCAGGGTAAACTGAAATTATAATAGTCCTTGCAGACACTGCAGCCTATCTTCAAGTCAGTTGAATAGTCCAGAAAATTGTAATCCCGAAATTGAATTAAAGTAAGCCAGATTTTCAGTGCCCTAGCACCTGGCAGAAAAAGTAAAAATACTATTTAGAGGAAAGAAACATCATCTCAGGCCTCAAAATATTTTTAGAAATAATTTTTTAAATACTGTGTCTGACACACAATCAAAGGTAACCAAGAACAAAAGGAAACAAGACAATGTAAATGAAACCAGTAAAAACAACAGAAAACAGAAACCCTCAATGATTCCAGACATTGTACTATAAGACAAACTTAAAATAACCATGCTGAAGGAGATAGAAATACATTGTTGAATTAATGGAGCAGAAGTTAGATCAGAAGAAAATATAAAGAATCAAGCAGAAAAAAACAAAACAAAACAAAAAACTTTCAGGAAAAATTCAGAAAAGAAGGTAAACAACAGGACACAATAAAAAGACCTACTATATGTGTGTGTGTGTGTGTTTGTGTGTGTGTGTGTGTGTGTGTGTGTATCAGGAGAGAAGAGCGATTCTGTAGAAGAAATATTGAAGAGATAATGGCAGAGCATTTTCAAGACCAATTAAAGATGTCAACCTACTGACTAAAGAAAGCCTTCAACCTATAAGAAAGATACACTTAAAAAGTCCATACCCAGACACAATTGCTAAAAATCAAAGGCAAGAGAAAATCTTAAAAGCAGTAAGAAAAAAAAAATGTAGCTGCAATAAAGAAGCAACTTTTCAATAGAAACAATGGAAGCAGAAAATAGATATTTTCAAAGTGATGAAAGAAAAAAGTAACTGCCAATCTAGAATTCTATACATAGCAAAACAACTTTCAAGAATGCAATTGCAATGAAGACATTTTTAGTCAGTCTAAGAGAATCTGTCACCAGCGGACCCGCACTAAAGAAGAGATAGAAAATGACACAAGAAGAAATGTTAGTGAGGGAGAATGAAGAACAATGAAAATAGTAAATATGTGAGTGAATCTAAATGAAAAGTGACTGCATAAAACATAAGAATAATACATTGGATTAAAAATATACAGATAATTTAAAATACAAACAGCAACTATATCATAACTAAAGCATATTAAAGTTCTTGCATTATCTTGGAAAAAGATAAAAGTACCAATGAATAGACTTTGGTAGGTAATGGATTTTTATTGTAACCTTTAGTTTAACGACTAAAAGAAGCGTAAAAGAGTGTAAAACCTTTTAAACTAACAAAAGAAAAAAGTGGAATAATAAAAAATAGTCAAAAGAAAAAGGCAAAAAGGAACAAAAAAGGCAAGAAAGAAAAGGAACATGTGTCAGGTAAAGTAAAAGCACATCATAAAATAATAGATTTAAATCCAAATACATCAGTGATTACATTAAATGTAAATTGATTAAATGCTCTAATTAAAAATTTGATGATTATCAGACTGTATTTTTTAAAAAAATCAAACTATATGAAGTCTACAAGGGACACATATAAAACATAAGAATTCAGAAAGGCAGAGACTAAAAGGATGGAAATAAAAGGCATACCATGTCTAATCAAAAGGAAACTAGTGTCACTATTTTAATTCTAGACAAAGTAAACTTTAAGGTAAGAAGTGTTACCTGTGATGAAGAGGGATATTTCACAATGACAAAAATTCAAATTATGAAGAAGATATAACATTATTTCCAAATTTGCAAATATCCATTTCTGAAGAAATGGCTTCAGAAATTTAAAGTACTTTTCTATCTGGCCGCAGCCATCACAGGTCTTAAAACATTAGCAGACTCATAAAACCTCTTAAGTCCTAAAATTCTTTCCACTTAAAAATCTTTTTTTTTAAATATATTTTATTGATTTTTTACAGAGAGGAAGGGAGAGGGATAGAGAGTTAGAAACATCGATGAGCGAGAAACATCGATCAGCTGCCTCCTGCACACCCCCTACTGGGGATGTGCGCGCAACCAAGGTACATGCCCTTGACCGGAATCGAACCCGGGACCCTTTGGTCCGCAGGCCGACGCTCTATCCACTGAGCCAAACCGGTCAGGGCTCCACTTAAAAATCTTAAACCATCTATTTTGTGTGTAAAGGTTGTTCAACTTAAGGAATAAACTTAAAAAAATAAATTTAAAGTAAAATATTGACAAAAATACTCAAAGAAATTGACAAAGCTATAATCGTCACAGAGAAAACAACTGTGTACAAACAAATCAGTAAGCTATGGATCTGAACAACTTAAAATAAAGTGATAATAACAGACATACAGAATTCAGTATCTAACAACTATAAAACACTCGTTATTTCAAGGCACATACAGCAAAGACAATGCATTTTTTAGGGTTGAAATAATTTATCTGACCTTTAAAGTAATTTAAAATAAGTTTACTAACAATACAATTATAAGGGGAAAACTAAAAACACCTATATATTAAGAAATAGACCTCTAACACACTCAGAGTCAAAGAAGAAATCACAATGGAAATTAGAAAATATTTTTAATTAATCAACAATATCAAAGTCTGTCGGATACAGTTTAACCCTGCCTACCTTTAAATTATAGTTTTATATATGTATTTTTCTCTAATGAGCAACAAATAGAAAAGGTTAAATTTTAAAGTAAGCATTTTTTCCCCAGGAACAACAAACCAAATAAAGAACAACAAAATAAATCCAAGGAAAGGAAAAAAAATAAAGAGAAGAGTAAATAAACATTAGAAAAGAGAGGACAAAATCCAAAATGTAGTTCTTTGAAAAGACTAATAAACAAGTTAAAATCCTGTCAAGATGAAGATAAATAGAGAGAATTCACAAGTAACCAAAGGCAGCAATGAAAAAGGAACATCATACAAAACTTATAGCATAAAAAGGATAAGAGGCTACTATGAACAACTTTGTCAATAAATCTGAAATTTTATACAAAAATATAAGTGGAGAAATTCTAAGAAAATCCAAGTAATTAATACTGTCAATAAAGAAATACAAAAAAGTGAATAATCTTATCAACTGAATCCATAAATTCATACTTTCAAGATAGAAAACTCTAGGCCTGTATGATTTCATTAGCAAAAAAGAAGAAATAACATACAAATCACACAAATTCTTTACAGAATTATAAAAAGGACTATTCCCCAACTCATTCTTAGAGGGCAGCATAACCTTGATATCAAGACACAACAAGAATATGGCCCTGGCTGGTATGACTCGGTTGGGTGTCATCCCACCCACCAAGAGGTTGCCAATTCAATTCTTGAGCAGGGCATCTGCCTGGATTGCCAACTTGATCCCTAGTAGGGGGGTGTGCAGGAAGCAGCTGATTAATGTTTCTCTTATCAGTGTTTCTGTCTCTCTTTCCCTCTCCTTTCCCCTCTCTCTAAAATCGATTAAAAATCAAAGACATAGCAAGGATATGAAAAGTAAGAACTATTATAAGACAATTTTACTCATCAACACAGGTACAAAAACTCTAAACAACTTACTATAAACTAAATCAAGCAATATGTAAGAAGGATATCACCTCATGACTAAGTTGGATTTATTGCAGCAGTACAATGATGGTTTAACATTAGAAAAACACTTGGTATAATATGACATATCTATATATATAAAGACCCAGGGGCCATCACAACCAAATGGAGGACCGAACAGGCTGCATGGGGCGACCAGGCCGGCAGGGGGGTTAGTGAGGGAAACCAAACAATGAGTACCAGGCTGCATGGGGCGACCAGGCCAGCAGGGGGGTCAGTGAGGGGTGACCAGGCCAGCAGAG